GGGGGGGGGGGGGGGGGGGAGCAAAAGTTCTGGGACAGAGAAAGACAGACAGGAAGGGCTTTAGATTCCAATATCTATGTCTAAGGCTCAACCTAGCCCTCCCTGATAGAAGGTCCAATTAGCCTAATATTCCAAGATTATCAGATTCTTACCAGTGGGAATCCTTTACAAAGAAGAACCATCTACCAGAGCCACATAATGGCTGCTTCACGTCCTCGGACTGCAAATCCCCCTTACCCATTCCTGCCAGCCTAGTCCCTCTGAGGGGGCACCCCTTCCTAGCCAGACTCCAGAGGGCACTGACCTTGCCATGTTTGTGGTGTTTGTGCATCTTTTTATGAGCTTTCTTCATTTTCTTCCGCATCTTCTTGTCCATCACCATTCCTGGTGCTACCATGCCAGGTGCCAAGGGATTCACAGGAGGCATGCCAGGAGCAGGTGGTGGGTAGGGAGGTGGGTAGGGACCTAGAGGTTGGCATCCTGGATACCCTGGTTGTGGCACAGGATGAGGAGGCCCACCTGGGGGAAAAGCTGGATTCCCCTGGGGAGCTGCTGGAGGAGTTGGAAAGGGGCCTGGAGGATAGGCAGGATTTACAGGCGGTGGGTGGGCAGGATTGGAACCTCCAGGGTACCCAAGGTTAGGAGGATATGGATTTGGCCCTGGTGGTCCTGGTGGAAGAAGCAAAGAATAAATTAAGATCAGAATTGCTCAGACCCTCTGGCAACAAATGCCTACAAAAGAAGGTGAGAAACACCGTTTCTCACTCAATACTTAGAGGGAAAAGCAAAGGTGAGGAAGGAGAACGGGGCGTAGGGGAGACAAAGCTGCGCAGGAGACAAAGGTTAAGGACTGACAGGACTGGGGGGAAAGGGAGACCGTGAACTCTAAGGAAAGACCATTGGTCAGCTATGGTTTAAGGACTGCTTTTGCGGTGGAGAGAGGCGGAGGAAAAACTGACACAAAAACTTCCTGTTGTGGGTTTCATATGAAAAGGGGTGGGGGTGAGAGAAGAGATCCCCAAACACCTACCGGCATTGGGATTCCACATGTTCAGGTGTTTCCTCCAGCCTGAGGAGAAAGAAATGAAGGCAAAAAGCTGACGGCGCAGAGGTGGGAAAGGGATTTTGAGCCTGAGGCCAAACCCAACGCGTCTAGCCCTACAGTAGACTCAGAACTACCAGGACCTCTACATAAATGCTTTTTTCCCACCCGTTCCTTCTCCTACCTATTCTTTTCCCTAGTTTCCTAACTACAGGAATTTAGCTTCCAGGACCCCTCCACCTTCTACCACCTCTGACTGCAGCTGGAGGTCTCTAACTCCTCAGGAGAAGGGCAGAGTCCGCGAATCTCACCGTCGTCATCCCTCACCACCCTTTCCGTGGTGACTTTAACCACCCACAGCCTACGGAAGGACCTTAATTTTACAGGCGCCAGCTCGGAGGGGGAGGGACTCAGGACCACCCCACCAGTCCTCACCCCCAGGCTAAGAAAAGGACCCGCCTCCCGGCGAAAGGGCAGGAGGCTCAGCAAAATCCTCTGCCGCTTACAAATGTAGACACACCCCCTTCCACATTAACAAGAGTAAATGGAGGTCCTGGCTCCTAGCTGCGGAGGGACCCCTGACCCAGAGACGGGAAAGGAGGAACCCAGATGCCCGGTCACCTTTACGCCACCGCCTGGGCTTGACTCATCTCGGCTCTCACTTCCTGGTCACCCCCAACCCCAGGCTTCAGCACCCGCCTCTGCTACCGCCTAATTGGTAATTTCATGATCTTTTAGCGTTAGTGATTGGAGAACACACGCATCAATCACTCTAGCCCTAACTAGGCTAGAGGACAACCGTTGCAATAGGGGCGGAACCGGGCTGCCCCGGCGGAGGAGGGTGTAGAGGAGCGGGCCGGCCGGAAATCCCTGGGGGCGGGGCCAAGAAAGACCGGGGAGGCGGAGGAGCGAGTTTCTGGGCAAAGTCCCTCCAGAGGCTTTGAAGAAACTCAGCCCATGCCCTCTGAGCTCCCAGTCCAAAGGGTGCGACACCTTGTAAGGTGAATAATACACCATGGTAAGTACTGTAACACGAATATAGAGCATGTAATAAAGGGCGGGGAGCTGCTGAGGCTCAGCCCCAAGCCTTAATTTCGCCACCTTCCTCCTAGCTGCCGTGGGAAGTAAAGAAACGTGCTTGGGCGAAATACAGAGATTACCTAATCCCTCCTTGGAGTCCCTATTTTAGGTGCATAGCTCTGCTACCTGTCGAGTTGGATAAAACAGATAAAACAAGTCATCTTCCCCACCCTACCCCCCACCCTCGCCCGTAAGTAAGCTCAATGCCAAATGTGGGGCTTGAACTCACGACCTTGAGATCAAGAGTGGCATGCTCTTGGGGGCGCCTAGCTGGCTCAGTGGAAAGAACATGCGACTCTTGATCTCTGGGTCCTGAGTTTGAGCCCCAAGTAGGCTGTAGAGATTACTCAAATAA